AGTAAGATAATCTCGATTGAACTGAAATTATTACAATTATATTTTTGTTATGATGAACAGCGTGCCATTTTTGTGAATCAATTTACCATTAAAAAATGAACCTGAAATGTACATATTGAATCGAATTTATATCATGTACATATTGAATTCCGTAAAGAAATATTATTAAAAAGTATAGAAATCTATTTTTGTGTTGATTTGTTGCGACTTGAATAAATTTTCATAAAAAACATTTATTTTTCTTAAGAAATTTTTTCTTCAAAAGTGCTCTATAAAATATTTGTAAGAAAAGCTTAAATTACTTAATATGTGCTATAGAATGTGTAAAAAATTAACCACGACGGGGTTATTCCGACTCCATCTCAAGTATTTTCTGACGTATCATGTAAGTATAAACTGTCAGCTTTCTAAATAATATATGTAAAAAGTATCAGCCTACATAAAATAAATGCTAAATCAGCTTATTTCCATCAAGAAATTAATAAATCTATTTTAAAACAACATTTGGTTTACTTTTATCTTTCAAGAATGTAACAAAATATTAAACAAAGTACAGGGAACATCAACATATATTTTAATAAAAATCTTTTTATTATATTTGTAAGTCTATAGTATATATTATATATATTATATAGTATATATTATACTATAGTCCAAACACTTGTATTTATTATTAGATTGATATTCGCTTTCATCTAAGCTGGTGTATACAAGATATCCCATTTTAAATGACGGACCAGAATATCTCGAAAAGTTGATGTACGAAAAATCTGTTCAGACCAAAGTTGTTGAGGACAGTAGGAGCCATCTACACGTCATGTCAGTGTTGACCTTGAACTTCAATTTCGAGTTCATTCGAAAGTCAAAGTGCTTTATTAAATAGGAACCTTTATATTTAACACTGATTTGGTATGCAAAATGTTAGAAAATACTTGGGACTAACGAACTTAACTTAAAATGCTTAATGAATAATAAGCATGATCGATAGTATTAGCAGAAATGCTTTTTATTGTTTTAATACGAGGGTCGTTTGAAAAGTCCGTGCAAAGTCAGAGAGATGGCGCTACTAGTGCGTATCAAGATTATTTTCAATTAGTGGCATATCTTGGAAGAGCACACACCAAGTTTCAGCCAGGTCGGCCAATTACTTTGCGTTTTACATTCGTTTCAATCAAAGAAATCGAGTGGTTGTAAAAAAATGGACGAAAAAGAATTTCGTGTATTGATTAAACATTTTACTTTTTCAAAGGCAAAACGCCTCAGGATATTAAACAGAAGCTTGATAAACATTAAGGTGATTGTGCACCTTCGATTAGAATGGTTTATAAGTGGTTTCAAAATTTTCGGAGTGGCCATATGAGCACAAAAGACGCTGAACGTTCTGGACGCCCTGTTGAAGTTACCACTTCAGAAATCATTGATAAAATCCATGATATGGTGATGGCTGACAGAAGAGTGAAGTTGCGTGAGATTGGTAGTACTGTAGGCATCTCGAGCGAACGAGTACATAATATTTTGCACCAACATTTAGACATGAAAAAGCTATCCGCTAGATGGTGCCGCGATTGCTCACGATTGACCAAAAACGAGATCATGTGAAGTGTTGCAAGAATGGTTTACAGCTGTTCCAGCAAAATTCGCAAGACTTTAAGCGTCGTTTCATCACTGTAGATGAAACATGGATACATCACTACACTCCTGAGACCAAAGAACAGTCTAAACAATGGGTTACCAAGGGGGAATCTTCTCCGAAAAAGGCGAAGACAATTCCTTCAGCCGGGAAGGTTATGGCGACTGTCTTTTGGGATTCGCAAGGAATAATCTTCATTGACTATCTGGAAAAGGGTAAAACCATTACAGGCGAATATTATTCATCGTTATTGGATCGTTTAAAAACCGAGTTGCTAGAGAAACGTCCGCGATTGGCCCACAAAAAAGTCCTCTTCCACCATGACAATGCGCCAGCTCACGCCTCAGCAGTTGTGGCCGCAAAACTGATGGAGATAGGGTTCCAACACGTTTCACATCCCCCCTATTCTCCAGACTTAGCTCCGTCGGACTACTATTTGTTCCCTAATATGAAAAAATGGCTGGCGGGGAAAAGATTTTATTCAAATGAAGAGGTGATTGCAGAAACGAATGCCTATTTTACAGGCTTGGACAAATCCTATTATTTGGAAGGGATTTACAAACTAAAGCAGCGTTGGATGAAGTGTATAAGCCTAAAAGGAGACTATGTTGAAAAATAAAAAAGATTTATTAAAAAAAATCAAGCAGTTTTTATTTTTGCACGGACTTTTCAAACGACCCTCGTACGATACTGAATCTCAGGCCGCAGGTTTGAATATATCAACTTCAGAATCGGCAAGGGAAGTCAAATTTGATTCACTATAAATGACTCTTGGTAAAGTATATTTTATCAGCTTGTTGGCCACCTGTTACCTCACGTAAGCTTCACGCTTCAGCCTCTTGATGGATAGATACTGGTTTCAAACCATCCTCGTTGCTGATATTGGTAATGTAGGTATGCATTCAACATATGAATACGTTTCTTGAGACACAGGCTCAATAACTTTTGGTTTCAAGATCCGTCAATATATAATTATTTATATGATTTAAAAAATTTAGGAGAGATGACCATCAAAAAAATGCTCAAAATATCCGAAAAAATTGTCATTTTTTAACGTCTGTAAAATTAGTTATGAGCGCTCAAAGACTTGTGTATCGAGAGTGGCATTTTCGGCTGCAAGGGATTGATCGATTTTTGGAAGATATATTTTCAGGACTTACAATCTATAACATTTCCTAATTTCTAATTTTTTTATATTATTTTTATTAAATAACTGTTTCACGTAAAGGGCCAATTTGAATAATTGAAAAAACAAGAGAATCACATATTGTTCTATAAAAAATTTTTATTAGAATATCTTCTGTCTATTATATCTTTCTCGATTGATGAAAATCGATTATATTTGTATCAATTGTATCGATTATATGGCCTCAAATTTTCAATTCAATATTGAAAAGTTCGTTTGTTTCTAATACCTAATTTAGTTCATAAATTTTTAATTTATGCTTATTTTACAGAATTACTGAAGAATGAAGGTTATTGTTTTGTCTCAGGCGAGTGTTTTTTTCCTACTCTATGTTATATTATGTAATGATGAGATAGTTGCAACTTTTTTTACCATAAAACTCATTGGCTTGCTCGGTACTTTATAATAAGATAATATGTTTAATCTTGCTAAAGTGTGTAAAGTTGAACTACTCATACAATTACTTAAATAAAATTCAGCCAATCACAAGTAATATCATTTCTAAATTATTGAATCATTTATTCATTTTTTGATTACGATAATCTAACTCGAAGGGAATTAAGTTGTCCATCCATGGCTACAGTACGAGGGTGGTCCGATAAGTACTTAGCCTCACCGCCCGATGGAGCCACTCCCGCAAAAGAAATATTCTATCACGTAGTACAACCTTCTCGATGGTTACTGTCAAGATTTCAGCCGGATCGGAGTTGTAGTTTATTTTTGAGAGCGTGTGAAATCAGGTGTGTCCGTTGATTTTTGAAAAATGGAAAAAGAGCAGTATCGGTCGGTGATTCAATTCTTGTTTTTGGAAGGGAAATCGCGCAGCGAAACCAAAAAGCGCTTGGATACTGTTTACGGTGACTCTTCTCCTTCGATGGCGACCGTCAAAAATTGGTTTAACAAGTTTTAACGTGGTCGCACGTCGATTTTTGAAGAGCCACGTCCAGGTGCTCCGAAAACGGCTACCACGGAGGATAACGTGACAAAAATTCACGATCTCTTATTGACAGATTGACGATTGAAGGTGCGCTAGATAGCTAAGATCGTAGACATCTCAAAAGACTGTGTGGGTCATATCCTGCATGAAATTTTGGGCATGAGAAAGCTGTCGGCGCGATGGGCGCCGCGTTTGCTCACTCCGGACAACAAGCGTAACCGTAAGACAACTTCAGAGCAATGTCTGACGTTGTTTAAGCGCAATCCGAAGGAGTTTCTGCGTCGTTTTGTGACAGTCGACGAAACATGGATCCACTGGTATACTCCAGAGACCAAGGAACAGTCGAAACAGTGGACTTTACCCGGCGAAAGTGCTCCGAAGAAGGCGAAGACTGCCTCATCGGCCGGAACGGTTATGGCCACCGTTTTCTGGGATTCACAAGGTGTGATCTACATCGACTACCTGGAGAGGGGCAAAACGGTCACAGGGCTGTACTATGCCGAGTTATTGGGCCGATTCGACGTCGAATTGCAGAAAAAACGGCCCCATTTGGCGAAGAAAAAAGTGCTCTTCCACCATGACAACGCACCGGCTCACACCTCCGCCATCGCCATGGCCAAATTGGTCAAATTTGGCTACGAACTGCTGCCCCATCCACCGTATTCTCCAGATTTAGCCCCGTGCGACTTCTTTTTGTTTCCAAACTTGAAAAAGTCACTCGCCGGGCAGAAATTTGAGTCGAATGAGGAGGTAATCGCTGCCATGGAAGCCTACTTTTCAGACCTCGTGGAAATGTATTTTTCAGACGGGTTAAAGAAGTTGGAGCATCGCTGGGCCAAGTGTATCGAACTAAAAGGAGACTATGTTGAAAAATAAAACGCCACTTTTCCAAAATTTTCGTTTTTCTTTTGTAGGCTAAATACTTATCGGACCATCCTCGTATATCGTTTACCAAATTCTATTTATTGTTTGTCATATGTTAAATCATTTTAATAATAGCGCAATAGTTATGTGAACTTTTTTTAACGGTTTTCAAAAAATGATTGATAAATCGAAACGTTGCATAAATAATTACATTATGTTTTTTATTGCGAGAAAATGATTAAAGCTTTTATTTGAGAAAATGTTACATATTTCATTGAAATTAATGATAAAGGTAATATGTAGTTATACAATAGTTTATCTTTTATTAAAAGTTTGAAATACTTGCATCGATTGTGTATAACACTACTTTGTCTATATTTCAGCTAGAATATGGCGTTGAACCTGACTTTACTTTCGTCCCAGAATTAAATCCAGTTGAAGGTTGTATGCATAGTGGTCAAACTGTAGATGCTGTGCGGCATATCTATTTGGGAAAACAACCACTGTTTGTAAAGCAGTGTTCAAGGTATGTACTTTTCTAAATAATACATTTTTTGATATATATTCATTTTTTAAAAGCTGTATGTTGATGCATAATGCAGGTGCGGTTCGAAATCTCAAATTCAAAATACTACTAGAACTGCTGCAATCAGAGCATGGGAACAAAGATGGGCAAAAGGTTGTCCATGTGGAGGTTCTTGGACAATTAATAATTCAAATATTCAGTAAAGATCTAAAAATTTCTCTTTACAATAATATCAAATACCCCTATGTAAAAAATAGTTTTTTGTTAACTAGCTCATTTATTTTATAACTTCTGAACTAAGTTTTGTTCCATTGAATACATTTTTTTAATTTACATCTCATTGTGATTTGTCGGTCAATAATTATAATAAAGTTATACTTAGTAAATAAAAATTGGTTGATTATAGAAAATCTATTATAAAAAATAAGATGACTGACATATAATCGTAGCGGAATATACATATAACTGTCATCTTATGAACCAGTAAAGAGGATCGAAGAACAATAACATTTCTCTAAACGGTTGAAACTGTCATAAAAATAAGAATAAAGAATTGATGGAAAACCAATAAAGTTTGATAATTATTTAAACTATTATTAAATCATCATGAAAATCAATTTTTTAGTGGCAGAAATAGGGTCACATGATCTATTATTATGAGGTGGCTAATGAGCATATATGTATGATTTCTAGTTGAGTTGTTAGTAGTAAACATTTAATTTATCACGTAAACATTTAATTTATCACATAAACATTTAATTTATCACTTCATATTTGGAATACAACGAAAGAAAGAAGAAGATTATAGTGTGTTTATTTTAACACTCATTTTATAAAACTAACAGTAAGTGAATATCTTTGTAGACAATTATGCTTTAAAATTATTCTGATTATTTTTTATTACTGATTCATAATCTGCTTTTTAAATGTGTAACACTGAAATAAATGTTGTAATGTTGTATATAATTGAAAAGAAAAAAAATTATTTATAGCAGTATGGGATGTAATAAATAATGAATTTTGAATATATAGAACTATTTTATTAATACACATTTTTCTACTGTGATATATTTTATAAAAATATTAAAAAATCCATCATTAAATGTATCAATAAATATGACAAGAATTAAAAAGATGAAACGGTATATAACGGCTGTTCCCGCTAAGGGTATCTCGCAGCCGCGCGTACAAATTCTTTAATAATGGAATTCGGGAGATGCGAACTAAATAACGCGCCAAACAAAAACGTGTTAATCACGTATGTATGATTCAGGATAAGAAGTGACACTGGTGACAACGAACGTGACAACGACTTTTTTACATTTTTTTTTATTTCCTCTAGGTTTATTTACAATCTATCTAACAAGGTAGACACTAAGTAAATGAGCTTGCTATTACGAAAATAAACAAATAATGAAGCATAATACTGCAGTAACTGTTATACTTTGTAACGCGGTGATATTTAATTAATGAAGAATAAAGCGATATGATTTGCCTTTCTCCTTCGTCGTTGATACCTGAGTCTCTGACTATCCTTTGTGGTTCCTCTGCGCCCCGTTAATGAGTCGGCTCGTGGGCGCCGACATTTCCTCATAGCGGGGTGATTGGTTTAACAGTTACGCGCGAATCCTGCAATGCTCGCGGGAAGAAACGATGAGTTCGAAACTTGTATCGTCGACGAATCGGGAGTGTTGGATAGGGAAACTCACTTGGATACACAATTCCAACGCGTGAAGTTTTATTACTTCTCTCCACTATAACTTTCAGTCTTACGCCGAGATTAACACTTATTTGCAGGGAGCTATACATTTATCACCAACGCCGCAGAAAGAGAGAGAGAGAGAGAGAGAGAGAGAGAGAGAGAGAGAGAGAGAGAAAGAGAAAGAATCATCGGCGCAGACGGTCGCGGAACTAATATAATCTTAAGGAACGACAGCTGTCCAATACAACACTGTCGCGCGGCATGGAAACACGGCGCTACACCACGATATCACCAGAGTGACTTGGGAGGGTCACAACGGTCGAATATTGCCGCAATCGCCTATGACGGAAGAATACATCGCCCTCGCAGGCGAGTGTATCTATCACCAAGGTATCGACGGTGTTGCTTCGTCCGAGGTCGGGGTTTTTTATGACTGCGCAGCGGGTTCTCCTGCTTTTGCTGGTTGTTTTTCTTCGTACCTCTGTATGTCTATCCTTCCTCGGATACCTGCTCAAAATTGATAGTTTCCTCAAAGTCGTGTACGGATGATACGTCGATCAGCGTTACACAAATGCTGCCGGTTTTGCCTGTTCACGCGCTCTCTCTTTGGCAGCAGAGGCTGTGCACGGCTTTTCACGATGCCGATAGAGGACATTAACGATGGCCTCTTGTTACAGCTTATTTTTAACTTGCATATATAATTTATGATTTCCTATTTATGTTTAAATACTTATATAAATTTTGGTTTTATTAAATATCAATCACATTGTATTTCTTTAGTTTAGCAGTGAAGATCCTTGTCTTGAAAAATTTTCCAACAAGCACGTTTGCATGGTTTTGCAGTCTGATGTTATATTTTTTGTAAAACGTTTTAATTTCTTCTTTTATTGATGGTATCTGAAGATCATTGGGGATGATCTCATTTGGTACGAAACATGGGGCCCTCGCGATATTTCACAGTACTTTGGATTGGAATCTTTCTAGGATTTATATGTTTGAGTTTGAGGCGACATCCCATAGTTGAATACCATAGGTCCAAATTGGTTGATTATTGATTTGCAAAGCATTATTTTATTTTCTATTGTGAGCTCTGATTTTTCTCTAATTAGCCAGTACATGTTCTTCCACTTCAGTCCTAATTATATGCATTTTCTGAATTTGTGCTCTTTCAATGTAAACCTCATGTCTAGATGAATACCCAAGTACTTTATATGACTACTTTGTGGAATGAGTTTATTGTTTAGTTTAATAGGTGGGCAGGTATCTTTTCTTACAAAAGTTCTATGCATTGATTTACTTTCATTGACTTTAATTCTCCATGTGTTTATCCAATTTTGTAGATGATTACTAATATAATTTTTTACTAGCTAAAGACACCTCGCTCGCTAATGCTCGCTCGGTAGCATTTTCAATGTGTCTCTTTAATACATGAGTTGTAGAATATATACAACAATAGATTTGACTTGATATTAGTGAAAATTATGTAATGCGATTTACATAATGATATTATGATATATAAATTACGATATACAAGGCAAAGCAGATATTTACTGTGATATTCAATTGAAAATATATATTTTTACATGAAAATTATAATAATTATAGACAATGATTAGATTGAATTGAGTTATTCAACCCATTTATATATATATTTATAAATAGAATTTTTATATACATAAAATATTCTCAGACAAATAGATCACGAATGAAATGATATCATTTGACATATCAAATTTATTGAAAATGATAACCACATCAAAGGAGATTATATTAAATGCACTATACTTCCATTGCGAATGTGATGCAAATGAATATTTATAAAATTATATTTTTATAGAACATAATGAATTACATAGCAAATTATCGTTAATGTACATTAATGCCAAATTATTGAATCATTATCAATTCATTTCATTACTTGTAGTATAAATTTTTTTTGAAGTTTCGACTTATTGAGTAAGATAAATCATTAATACAACAAATATATTGTTATTAGAAAAAAACTATGTCAAATATATTATTCAATATTATCAGTATTAGAATGACGAATTTCTTGAAATATTCAGGTCATATTAGACTCATTCTATATAGACTCAACAAGTAAATAAAATCTATCTGCGATCTTTTTGAAACTTTGGGATATTAATTTACATTAAATTTCATTAAATACGTGTTTTTTCTTTTGTGCGAAAACCCGTTTTGAAGCCCTGTAGTGCTATGACAAAGCTGATAGGGTATAAGCGTTATTTTAAATGCAAAAACAACCACTATATTTTAACTGATCGCCATTTTCACCCAAATCATCGTACACGAACCGTTTTCTTTCTTCAAAATGTGAGGAATTTAAACAGCTTTTATTTTCTGCATTTAGATTTTGATTATTTTGAAAACTTTGTTTTTTAATTGAAAAAACCAAAAAAACTACTTTTTTTTAAAAATCGAATTTCTAAAAAAACACATCTTCGATTTTCTTGAATTTTGAATATGTTTTTTAGGACGTCATAAGCTATCTTTCTGCGAAAATATATGCGGAAATACTGAGGAAAAAGCTGGAAAGAGAACTAGAAGCTAAAGAAACACTAAGTGATACGCAGATGGGATTTAGGAAGAAAAGAGGAACAATGGACGCGATATTTATATTAAAAACAATAATAGGAAAGGAAATAAGGGAAAAAGGAGGAAAACTGTTCGTATTCTTTGCAGACATGAAGGCCGCTTTTGATAAAATAAAGAGGAAGAAAATATGGGAAATAATGAAAGAGAAAGGGATAAATAGAAAAATTAGGAAAAGAATAGAAGAAATATACAACAGGGAGTAAGGTAAAAGTTGGAGGAGAAATAATTGGGGAGTTTGGGACTTACAAAGGCGTAAGGCAAGGGTGCCCTTTGAGACCCACGCTATTTAATCTTGCCTTCGCCGACCTGGAAGTGAAGATCAAGCAGGTGCAGGAAGGAGGGGTAGTGATAGGACGGAAGAAAATATGGACATTAGGATACGCAGATGATATAGTGATGATGGCAAAGAGTGAAAGTGGAATGAAAGCAATGCTGAAAAAATTAAAAAGATACCTGGAAGAAAGGGGATTAGAGTTAAATGTAGGAAAATCAAAGATGATGAAATGCAGGAGAGGAGGAGGAAGGGGGAAGGAAGAAGAATTCGAACGGGAAGGTGAGAAGATAGAGATGGTGAAAGAGTACAACTACTTGGAATATGTGATAAGCAGAAATAACGGAAATAAAAAGCAGATAAAGAAGGTAGAAGGGAAAATAAATATGGGACTCGGAAAGATATGGGGGCTAGGAGAAAAGATATTTAGAGAAAACTGGAAGCTAAGGATGAACCTGTTCGATGCTCTGGCGAAAAGCGTGATTATGTATGGTGCAGAAATCTGAGGATGGAAGAGATATGAGGAAATGGAAAAACTACAACTAAAATACATAAAGTGGGTATTAGGATTAGATAGAAACACGCCAAGTTACCTACTACGATGGGAAACAGGAAGACAAGAAATGAAAGAAACAGCATTAGAAAGAGCAATGAAGTATGAAAACAAAATAAGAGAAGAAAGAGATGGCTCAATAAAAAAAGAAGCATGGAGAGAATTAAAGAAAAGGGAAAGAAAAGAAAAAGATAAAAAGGGTAAGAAGGAGAAGAGACAGGAAAGGCTGGAAAAAAGGAAAATATACAGAGAGAGGGAAGAGGGAGATGAAATGAGGGAAGAGTTTTGGGAAGAAATAAGAGATGAGCTAAAGAAAAAAGATAAAAAAGAACTAGAAGAAAAACTAGAAAAATCAAGATACATAAACGAGTGGAAAGAGCTGAAAGAAGAAATGAAAAGGTATAGGTTAAAGGAAATTCAAGGAGAGGGAAGAATAAAAGGCCTGCAAATAAGGGAAAGGTTTAGGTTAGGTAATGAAACGAGAGGAAGCAGGTATTGGGAAAAAGAAGAAAATAAGAGATGCAGAATGTGTATGAAAGAGGAAGAAAATTGGAAGCACATGGTAGAAAAATGTGAAAAAAGTAGAAAA